AGCAAAACCAAAGAAAAATTCAACAGTTAAATTGTTACAAACACATATATACATTGAAGTATCCCCTACCCCACACATAAAATGTAGACATGTCCTCATGGCATAAAAATATAAAGAACAGTGAGGTAGAGGCACTTCCCTGGAAGATCACTCCTGATCGGAGACGATGTCTGGGTTCACATTGCATGCATGACCCAGAGCTCTTAGCTAGCCTAAAAATTTCTTCTCCGACTTCACTTGCTTGTCAGCCACTGCGTCTACGCGGGCACCCAAATCACTAATTTACGCAACCCAGCCAGATCCTGCTCCAAACCTGTCAGGCGTGTACTTCGGCAGGGCTGGGAAGGGCCTGCCTCTTCAACTCTCATAGGTGGTGGGACCTCAGCTGCTTCAGAATCATCATCATCAGATTCATCATATGATTATCAACATTCACCATCGCCTCCATCCCAATTCTGATTTTTCTTGCCATGAACGGGGCTTCGAGTGGTAATTTCCCATCAACTCTAAGGTCTTCAGGGATCCTAGCAATATGGCACAACCTGGTGACGAGAGAAATAAAGTAGAAGCCTTTGAGTAGCTCCGGTGATCTAATCAGCATCTCGTCATGGAGGAGCCGTACCACATCAAAATCTCTGTGGGCCATGAAACAGTAGATCAATGCCACTCGTGGTAGATTGACATCAATGGTATTGCTAGAGGGCAACAACCGACTAGTGATAATAGTTAGCCAACACTTAGCCTCCCAATTGAGAGACTGGGAGTTAAGTGTGATCCTGTGCTTTATCCATATGTAATGTCTGTCTGGCACACATATCGTTTCAAGAATAGTTCCCCACAAGGCACTTGTTCGGCTAAACATACGATAATCATCATATTCTCCCCTGAACACTGGCAGCCTGTACACCCAACGGATGGTCTCGAGGGATACATTTACCGGTATATTGCGCACAGTAACAACCTCATTCTCACATTCCAGGCAGTTCGCATAGAACTCCTTTACCATCTGAATATTGGCCTCCCCCGGTAGCTCGAAGAAGATGTCCAGCTGACGCCTCCGTAGCTCGTTGAAGATATTTGGGCATTCCACCTCTAAGGCATCTCGGTCAATATGCACCTCATGTAGCAACTTCTTATCTGCCTTGGCATTGTACCTGTCCTCCGCCTGTTTGGAGACAAACCTAGTGTTGTCAAATCGCGGCGCACTAGCTTGGCCCCTAGCTCTCGAGGAGCTGCCCGGTCCACTAGCGGAGGACCCGGTGTTGCGTCTCTTCCTAGAAGGATTCATTGTACCCATCAAATAGAGTAGCGCCTATCAGTGAGTGTGTGAATTGTGTGACTATGGGCGGTTACTCAGACTTCACCACAACCATGTCACCTTAGCCCTTATAACTCCATTGGGGCAATTTCTCAAACACCTTATGGGCAAGACAACTTCTTTAAACATAAAACCCATATGACATATCTAAGCCTCCCCCAAATCAAAGATTTACTACCTCATTACACACCACAAATATTAGTGCAATCACCCACAAATTTCCACCTTACTACCACTTTATACACACAGCCCCTTCACCAATACATCTAAAAACGAATTTCAAAAGAAAACAATAAGAAAACTAACAAAAATCTACTAAATATTACTATACTATTAAAAATCACTACACAATTACTAAAATGCATACAACTACACAAAATACAAAAAGAAAAGATAAGGGAGAAGGAGTTACATACCTGGAATGATGAAGGAATGAAGATAGAAGAAGAAGAGAGGAGGGATTTTGAGGAGTTAGGGTTTAGAGAGAGAGAGAGAGAAATTGAGAAGAAGTGAGGGGGGCGGGTATTTTGTTATGTTTTATTAAGGG